TGAGTGGCTTAAATAACCCCTAGGTCAATAAACCGAGTCATTAGCACCTCCTTTAAATAATTGTTTGTCTGTTACTGGTTCAACATTTATATAATCTGTCATAATACCCTGGTTTTCTAAGGTAAAAAAATTACTGCTATAGGCTTAAACTAGAGAATATCATGTAAGTAGCAATGTTTTTTCAGTGATAGTTTAACTATACTGTCTGGTACTGAGTGAGTTAAAGCCTGAACACCACAACTAATTACTATGTAATGCTAACCTTAGTTGCTGGTTCATTTTGAGACTCTTTAAAAATATGAACTGTGTATTTTACCCCTATGCACTCTCTTAATGATTTGTTTTTTTAGACTGAAATCACTTCCAGCCATCAGTTATACTTTTGGTCTCTACATATGCACTTCTCCAAGCACAAATATTTCTTTTTCCTATTGGTCTGCCAGCCCTGTCAGAGCAAATTTCACTTTAAACTAAATGCTATGATACTTAAAACCTCTTGGATTACTCAGGCTGCTAGTGTGATCTGTAACCTTCCAAGAATGACAGCTGAACTTTCCAATTTGCTTATAGTGTTTGGGGAACTAGAAAGCACATGCCAAAAGGAAAATGTTTCTGATGTTGAACAGAAAGGAAAGTTCTTGTTGGAGGTGGGGGCAAGAGACTATTAAGTACTGAAAAATACTAATAAGAAATGAAAAGAAACTAAACATGCTGTAAAGTCTAAGACCTCAAACATAATTCAAAAGTTAATACTAGTACTAAAAACTCTGGTTAAACTGGTTAAAATATGAAAAATAACCTTTAGTTACTGTAATTTAAGCGCCAACCAGAATCTTAAAGTGATAATGCACTATTGAAATGAACAAATTCAAAAAATGGAATATAAAATTATCACAAGTAGTACACAAAATGGGCTATATCAACTCCCCATCTTTCTTTATAAAACAGGCAAGTCTGACATATGAACAAAAATAAAAGTTAATACAGTCATCTAACATGCATGCTACCTCCATGGACATAATAAGAGTCTCTCTTATATGAACAAAAAACACTACTGACATAACACCAGTCTTTTTTTCTTTTCTTTTTTTTAATTAATGTTAAGTTTTTTGTTAAAACTTGTGTCTCCAAAATCCTTAAACAAATCATTCAGTTTGGGAACAATTTGGAATAGTTTTGAAACTTTTCACTTCAAGGAAGCAGATAAATGTTTGTCTTAAAAAAATCCTGAAAATCTTATCAAACGTAAGATGCTTAATATAAAATCTCCTATTTATTTCATAATCTACTTATTCATTTGTGTCAGTATTTTTTAGGCTAAAATAATAGTCAAATTACATTTGGATGATAAAAATTGAGCAATGACTGATAAAGACGTTTCTGGAAAGCTAAATCAAACTAACATTTTTCCAAAATTGAGGGCAAACATATAGATAATAGGAACTATATTTAAACACATTAAAAGTGCATCTTTTTAAATAGCTAAGCATAATTTAAAAAATTTGATTCTAAACTTATAATTGCAAATACACACACACACACAAGGGCATTTCCTTGCTTTACAAGGGCATTTCAAAAGATTTATATTGGGCAGTATTATTTGATGTTTTGCAGCCATTAATTCAGTAATTTCCGTAATAAACACAGGTCGGAAAAATATATCACAGTTATTTAATGTCCTCTAGAACGTTTAGGATCTCAGAATACTACATAATATAACAGAAATGCATTAGAAGAACAGGTATTAAAGTAAATCTCTACCGTTATAAGCTTTCTTGATCCTTAAGACTATATTAAACTGTTACATTATAGGTTTCTTTTTTAAAAAAGGTAAATTCATTTTCTGTTCAGGTATAAGACTATAGATTGTAAGATTACATGTCTTCTGATGATGAAGCATGGTGTTTCTATATCACCTTCAAAGAATAGGGCTAAGCATCCTTTGGTCACACTTTGCATTGATATAAACAAATTCAGTATAGACTGGAATGTAGAAATATATGACAATTGTTTATCTGACTTGTAAGAGTCATATTTTAAGTTAAAATTATTCTTAAATCAGCCTAAGGAAACACTATCTTTTTTCTTCTTTGTCACTCATGTAAATGAGCATTTCCCCTCTTAATTTAAGGACTAGCAATTAAGTTTATGAAATTCAGCCAAATGAACTTAAGTACAAACTATGAACTTATCAATAACTCCTAAATTTTCTTAACGTTAGTAGGGTGCAATTACTTCAAAACTAGAATATCTGAATGGGATTTGTGTCTCCACTGATAACTTGTTTCAGTCTATATCCATAACTAACTTTGACATGACTTCTTTCTTTGTAAAATAAGAATAATGGCTATATCTTTTAACACCTCTATGCCTTGAAATTATTGTATTTCCAAGAAAAGTACCCATATATTGTATATATTTGGTGGTGTTATTGTTATGACATGAAAATGATGAATACTTCCCTAGAAATGCTTAGGAAATTCTGGCTTCTGCCTAATGATCTAGACAGTTAAGGGATACTCTATCATACTTGGCAAGCTTCATACACATGCTTTCTGTTTGCCTTTATAGGGCTCCTACATAATTCATAGAGATTTATGCCTCCACATAGGCATACTAATTGTTGTTGCACTAAAATAATGCCATGGCCAATCGTTCTTTCCTTTTACCGTAGTAAGACTGGACTGTTTGTATTAAGATTGTTCAATCAAAACCCTTTAGATTCTATGTCATGATTGATGAAAATAACACCGTTAGGGATGAAACTTACTGATTCTAGTTACATGCTTTTTCATCTTATTTTATACTCAGTTAGTTTATTTTGAAAGTAGTTAATCAAGGGTAAGGTTTTTAGTTATCTCATGTAAATCATCGCTTCCCACATTGTACACATTCCTACACTCAGGTTTACTGCCAGTGTTGGCTTCTCTTAGAAAAGTGCACACAGGTCATGAAAACGTTTAGGGTGGAGTATTTTCATTCTGCGATGTGTGTTGTCTTTGGGCTTGTGCCAACCTAACAATCTGGCACTTATAAGCAAAGCTGGGCAACTATGAGAATTCTTTAGGGAGATGGAATGCACCATACATTTTTGAGATTATCTAGGCTTTAGACAGTATTCTGAATGAGCATATAGGTATATCTATATTAGTTATTTCAAGTATGCAGGAAAAGGGACAAATTGATTCAATTTAAAATAACTATGGTATCTACTTGCTGATGGCAAACGGTATCTCCCTTCCCTAGACTTTGTTGGGGGATCACGTAACATGCAACTGTACAAAATTGTAATAGTTTCTTTTTCCCCATAGTGTATAAAAAGAATGAGATAAATTATAATAGCCTAATATTTATGAAGGCTTTGAAAACTTTTTAAAAAATACTTTTAAAAATATTTGAATGCTTTTTAAAAATACTTTTTTTGAGATTTTTAGGAACTCTTAAAATGCTTTTTAAAAACACTTTTTTAATGCATTTTACAATGTTTTTAAAAAATATTTTTTGACTTTTAAGAGCTCTTGCATATTTATCACCTCAAAAATATCTCAGCATGAAGTTGGGCACCTTTATCAATATAGCTTTATAGGGTTTCTTGTATAAATTTGAAAAGATGTAAATTTTAAGCTACAGTTGCATTTAAAAAATTTACTTGCCTAACTATGTTCATAGAAGCCTCCTCCCATCCTTTCACACTTGAGGGGCTCTAAATTAGCCACTTGATACTGTCTACACAAATCTGGATTCCTTTTTAAGATCACTGTGCCTTTTAATTTCTGACAGGCCAGTAGGAAGGTGCTTTGTTTTGGCTGGAAAACCCTGAAAAATCGGGGTGTATCAACTTTAGATATAGTTTCTTCTAAAGCTAAACAAAGAAAACAGGCTTAAAATATATAAAATACATTATATTTCTTAAGATATAATGTTGACTTATGTTTATAAAAAGAGAATTATGTTCAGGAAATCATTGATTATGTTCCTGTTTAAGTGTATTCAAAAGACTATTTAAAATCCTTAGCTTATTCAAAGGGTGCAAGACAGCTTTTGTTAATTGTGCCTTTCAACTCTAAAATGAGACCATAGAAATATGTAGCTTTTACTTAAGAATCAAAATAAATACACACAGATTTTACATATACCCATAATTAACTATATTAGAAAAATGATTAGAAAATTACTAATAATTATGTTTAAACACAAAACAAAGTAGCATTTGAAAATAAATTATATTACAGAGTCCCACACTTGTCTCTTTGGAGCAGGTCTGAGTTCTATCTAATTCATGGAGGAACTGAGCGTTAGATTACCAAGTAATTTGGGCTAATACTGGAAGACTGCGTGTTAGCCTAAAATTCCTACACGTAAATTCTATAAGATTATAGTTCATAATTAATCCTTTAACTCCAGACATCACCTCCATTTTCAAATGACCACTTTTTTAAAATTAGAAAACTTGATGCATTTTAACAAATCCTTTATAATTTAAAACTCTTCCAATGAAAAGTGTTAAAAATTCATCAATAGCTATGATGTCAGTGTTAAAAGAATTTCAAAGACTAAAATGTTTGTCTCTTGTTCCCTTGGGAGTATCTATCTATGTAAAATGAAAAGTCAGTTTTAACTCAGTAACACTTTCACCCATGAGATGGAGTCACAGAAAATCAACATTTATATCAAGCTCCTTGATAAAATGGTTCTCCCCAAACCTGTAATTATTCAAATTACATTTTTTAGGACTCTGATGTGTTTCTAAAGAGGGAATATCTCTATTACAAAGACACCAAAAGCTGTTGTTTCGACTAATCCTTCCAAACTACTTATTGCTGTAAAGAAGTAATTAAACATTAGTGAATTATCAGACCATCAAAGTACGATGTTTTATGAAACAGCATATATAATTTAAAAAGTTATATTTCAAAAATAATGTGGTTCTTTGACAAATATTGTACTGCTTAGCTTAGAATGCTATAAAATCTGGACCTATTTACTTTTTTCTAAGAAAATTCACATTCTCTAGAATTTTTGGGTGTGTGTATAAGAAGATACTAAAGGTCTGTGTTTTTGTACCAGAAGTAAGTTAATGAATGACACACTCCAAATATCATGCTCTTCATAAAATATAAGGAGGGAGAGTATTATTTAAGATAAAGTGGCATTCTTTTCTAAATATCATTAATTCTGTTTCCTCTAAAAATTAAGAATTCAGAAATGTTTAAGATGTTTATTCTACTGGAAATATTTCCAATAGACAAATATTATTTATTCTATTTACAGTAGAAGAAACATCTTAAACATCTGAGTTCTCCTTAATTTTTAGAGGAATATATATATATATATCAAGATATTGGAATAACATACAAGTGGGCAGAAACAGATGAAAGACCATTGATGTCCAGATACTGACAACGTGGTATTACTTTTATAAGCCTGATAATACTATTACCCTTAATTATTTTCAAAACAGAAAGCTGAAAGAATAATAAATAGAATGCTTTAACTCATCTCAAAAAATTATACTTTTAACCCTGAACTACATAAGCCTCTTAAAGAGAAAGAGATTATTTCTTACTGACCTCTATATCCCTAGACCTCATCCAAGTGCTTGTCAACTAAAAAGGTTATGAATAAAGGACATTTTAAGTGTTAAAAGCAAACATTAAGTGATTCTATATTTTATCCTATATTTTGTGCTTTATAAAGTTAATTTCACCTGTCATCACAGAAACTTTAAGTAAAATTATAAGTATCTTTTGGAAATAACAGCAATAACAACAAAAAAATCCCAACAGCATATATACTATTTTTATGATTTATTGACTATTAACAGATCATTAGTTATAACCTGGTAATAAGAAAGAAACACAAACAAGGAAACTCTATTCATTTTAAGTATGGAGTAGTATTTGTTGCTACAGAACTTAAGCTATTGCACTATGAAAACTACTACAGATTTTTAAAATATTCTGATTATCCTCTAAAAATACAACCAACTAAAGATAAAACTTTAAGATACAAGTCTAAAGATACAACTTTAAGATCCTCTAAAGATACAAGCAACTTTAATATCCTCTAAAGTCATAACCATCCTCTAAAATTACACTATCCTCTAAAGATACAGCCGTAAAAATTCTTAAAACAAATACTCCTTGATGTTTAAACATAGAGCCATTTCTCCAGGTACAACAAAACTGAAAAAAAAAATTTTACAGCAAATCAGCAATGAAATTGACTATAACTGAAATTATGTGACTTCCAAGCATGTATTCTACTGATCTTTCTCCATGAAAAATATAACTCCAAGAAAATAATTATTTTGCAATTCTAGTCAGTTGGTTATTGCTATTATTAATGAGAAATTGAACACTAATCATATTATTTCTTCCTCCATTATGGTGAACCTATAATGTTTCTTTAGGCTAAAGTAAATGGACTAGAAATATGATTTTACACACTCGTAATATTGGGACATTATAAGAGTTATTTTTGAAAATAAAAGAAAATTTTTCTGAGAGAGATTGTGCTTATATTCAGTATAGATGGGTACTTCTCGGTATATTTAATTAGACTTGTAGTAGTATAGTACAAGTACACTAAGAATCACTTAACTGGATCTTAATTATGAAGGCAAGCATCTTCATTTGTGTAAAATATACCTATTTAAAGTCTGTTTTTATCTTACCTAGGTTATTAAAAAATTTTCCCATATAGCATAGGCTCCTATCAACAATTTTATAATACAAAGCATATGATACTGTAAGCAGGATATATAATACACATCTACTTGATTATATATTTAATAGATGATATGCATTGTACATTTGAAAGGATACTGAAATAGTAAAAATTAAAATTAAGAAATTATAAAAAAGTTCACACTGAAAATAAAACAGCATGGGAAATGTCTTAATACTGGCTCTGACGTTTATAACTTTTATTAAACAAACGTCTATTAAGAACCTAGTGTGTGCCAGTAGATACAACTTGGAAAAAGACAGTCAAAGTTCTTGCCCATCTAGAGACTGTATTCTTGTGGTAGGAGGGAGAATAAACAAGTGAACAAAAATTAAACTACTAGGTTAGATGAGGGAGAAGCAGCTTCTTTGATAATTCTCTTAGGAAAAGACTCTCTGAAGAAGTAATATTTGAACTGAGATTTGAAAGGTAAGAAGAAGCCAGTTATTTAAAAAGTTGAAAGACTATTCAAGTTAAGCGCAAAGGTGATGAAGTGAGAAAGAACTTGGTGAATGTCTGGGGAAGAGAAGGGGTTCCAGTGTGGGTAGAATTCACAAGCAACTATAACTGGAACATTTGATGAGGCTGGAGATGTAGAGAAGTGTCGAATAATGCAGGACTTTATAGAACATGGTAAGAAATTTGTGTTTTATTACAGGAGTATGGGGAGCCACTGAAGGCAGGTGAGAGATGTGGTATGACATACTTGAAAATGATCATGATGGCTACTGTGGAAAAAATGAAGCAGAAGGGAAGTGTAAAAGCAGGAATATTAGGCTATTGAATGGTTCAGGTGGCAGATGATGGTGGCATGGAATAGGGTACTAACAGTGAAAATGGAAATAAATAGCCAAATTTCAGACCTACTCTAGAAATGAAATGAAAACAATAGGACATGCAGATGGTTTGCAGTGGAGAGAGAGGCTACTGATGAAGAAAAGGGAGATAATAAGGAAGATTCCAAAGTTTAAAGCTTGAACTACTGGGTGGATGGTGGTGACACATACTGAGATGAGAAGATTATGGGAGGAACCTGTTTATATGTGAGAAATCAAAAGCTAAGTTTGATAATTTTACTAAACATTCAATTGGATAGCATAAGGAATAAGGATGGTGCTGAAAGGACAAGTCTAATCTAAAAATATAAGTTTACAAATGGTACTTAAAGCCATGGATCTGGATGTAATCCTAGGTGTGGTGGGTGCAGTTAGAAAAGAGGGTCCCCCCAAATAGGGTATGGACAGAGAACAGGGATATAGCCCTGAAGTAACCAGCATTTAAATATGGAAAACAGAATGAATAGCCAGCAAAGAACACTGGGAAGGAATGACAAAGGGCTTGGGAGGAAAATCAGAAAAATGGGGTATCTATCTTGAGAGCTGAAAGAAGGGAGTTTCAAAAAGCAGGGGCCTGGTCAACTGTGTCAAAACCAGCTGAGAGGTAAAGATGAGAATGGTCCATTAGATTTGGCAATATGATGACTACTGGTGATTCTGACAAGACTGGGTAAGTTGAAGAGCACATGCAAGTCTTTTGAGAAGTTATGGATAAAGGGAATTGAGAAACAGGCAGTAGTTGGAGTATGATGTGGGGCCAAAGAGTTTAACTTTGTAGATTCTGATTTATGTTTATGCTGACTTATGATTTATGTATATCTGATTGTGTATGCTGACAGGAATGATCCAGTAGAGGGGAAAAGAGTGATGACAAAAAGAAGTCCTTGAAAAGACAAGAATGGGGTCTAGAATAAAAATGGGTTGACTGGATTTTGAAAAAACTTCCTTCATTGTAACAGAAGGTGGGCAAACGTAAGAATAGTTTATTGATTGAGTGGTGGCAAGACAACCTTGGGCAAGTTGCTTAAACCTACACGTTTCAGTTTTCTTAATAATAGTGTCTCCCTTCAGCTGTTGTGAAGAGTAAATTAGATAAGGGATGTAATAAATAGCAATTCATATACTGCCTGGCACTCACTAATTTCAATAATTGCCATCATCATTATTGGTCCATCTATCTCATATTGTACATAGATCTGAAACCATTTAGAGTAGCAGCCCACAACCTTTTTGGCACCAGGTACTGGTTGTGTGGAAGACTTTTTCCATAGATGGGGGAGGACAGACAATTTTAGGATGAAACTGTTCCACCTCAGATCATCAAGCATTAGTTAGATCCTCATAAGGCGCACGCAACCTAGATCCCTCGCATGCAGAGTTCACAACAGGGTTCGTGCTCCTGTGAGAATCTAAGGCCGCTGCTGATGTGTCACCTCCTGCTGTGTGGCCCAGTTCCCAACAGGCCATGGACAGGTACTGGCCCGGGAATTGGGGGCCTCTGATTTAGAGAATACCATTTAAAATAACACAATTAGAATAAAGATTGTGTATGTCACTGAAGTCTGCATTGTTTCTACTCCTTTCTAGCAGTTTCATTTAAAACTTTACTGGGTTGTTCATGTCCCCAAAACAAATTCTTTTGAGCAGCTGCACTTGTTTAAGATGTGTGTGTGTGTGTGTGTTTTAAAGAACAACAAAAACTGAAGAAAACAATCTTCATGCAGAAACTTTCTGTGGACTTTCAAGGTTAGAATTTTGGGCAGATTTAAAGTTGCAAAGAAACAAAGAAGCAAACCATAGAACAGGCCCTCAGATAAAGTCTAAAATTCTGTTTTCACCTTCATCTTTTTTTCACATGCAAACTATTATGTTACAATTTAAGTAGACATAGGTCTATTTGAAAACAATTCTAAGAATATAAGCTACATTTTGAAAGTTCAACATTCCAGCATTGTACCTAATACCTTTTGAAAAGGCCCTGTGAGTGCTGCACTCTCTTTCCTTTAAAATGTTCAAACCACTCCTCTTACCCTCCTCTTGTATTGGGGTAACTAACAACAGGCACTTCCCCAAAAGTGGATCCTCTTTTTATCAGGAGATCTGACTTTACTGTCCCCAATTCAAAAATAGTCTTCTGAGTTCTCAATACACTTTTAGTTACTGCTTTTACGATAGTCATCTAAATCAATACATGAGTATTACGTATTTTTGATCTATCTCAACATTTTTATTTTTATGAGGATGGGAATAATTTTTTCTGTGAAATTAGATGGCTAAAACAGTAACTGACTTCGGTCTTCTGGGAAAATATAAGCTGATTTCCTTTTTAAATTTATTTTATAAAATTTCATATTTCTATATGTAAATTTGACCTAATACAAAGATATAATAAAATGTATTTATTCAATGACTGTCACCCAAGATGGCCCCCTGAGGGTGAACTTCTTGACAAAGAAGTTGCTAACTTCCAGTTGCCAACCACAAAAACAAAGCAGTAGAAAAGATAAGAGGTGTAAGTAAAAATTATATTTAACCTGTATTAACTGAATCAGATTATTAATGCCTCAACTGAAAGATTTCATTGTAACAAAAAAGAAAATAAATATGATTCTTCATGCACTTTACTATGAGAATGCACATATTAATGTATAAAATTCAGCTTGCTTAAATGTGATTTTGAAATTCCAATTGATTTATTTAACATATTCATAATATTTCCTTTATGTGTGTAAGGACCCATTTGATAAGATGGTTTAGTGTATGTTAACAACAACGTTATTTTTACTCTAAGAAGAGCTCTTATAAAGTGGAACTTTAATTTTTTGAAATCCTTGAAATTCCCTTAAATTTCCTTAAGTACTGTGGTGTCTTCTCTATAACGAAAACCGGAAAAATAACGTTATGGCTCATTAAATAAACCCAGTAAGTACAAACTTATGTTGAAACTAAACATACAAAATAACGAAATAACAAACCATTTTATTTTATTTGAGAAAAAAGAAAAAAAGCCTTGGTCTTTTAAAAGGATTGAAATAGACTCAATTTATGGAGTCTTGGAATCTTCACAGTAGTGCAGACGAACTTCCACTTGCCCTCCCCTGCCCCACCTCCCGCACACTTTCTCCTCTTAGTTTATTCACATTTTAAATCTTCCAAGTTTGGCCTGCAACCACTTGACTGGATAAAGTAGGTCACTTGAAAAGGAAGAAAGCCCAATAAAATGAATTGCAAAGACAACAAGATTAAACTGATTGCGCTGTTTTCATACATTGTAGCTGAAATTCTGCAAATATGCAGTTGGCTGTGGTTTGGCATTCAACAGCATGTGATCAGTAAGAAGGAGGAAATTTTATTCTCATTAACTGCTGCAGATTTACTGCAGTGAAAAAGGGCTATGTAACTCGAGATGTGACAGTACAGAAAGATCAAAGCCATGGACTGGAAACTAAATAAACCCTCTGGCTACTTCCTGCAAGGAAAATTCACTTTGGCAATGTAAAACAGAGCCCAGTTAAAAACTACTCTCAGTTTTATGAGCTGTCACAGCAGTTCAAGTGGTTTGGACTGGCTGAGTTTATAACATTATATTTCCTTGTTTTTGTCTTAGATACTTCTGTAAGCGGTTTTAAAGACGCCCTCGACCCCTTTAAAAAATACAACAACAAAAAACTAATTTCTTTTGGTTGAAACCAAGAAGGTAACCACTAAACTTATTAACGCAGGTAGGTCTTCATTTGCACATTCCTTTCTCATTTAAAACAGCTTAATACTTTATTCTTAGATTTATTTGGTAATATAAATTTACTTAATAATTCATCTATGATCTGTACAATTCCTATTCAGAATAAGTGCAAATCAGTTTACAGAGCCCATATGGCTCATATCTGAGGAGTAAACTATTTGTAATAGCACATCTGTAAGGACTATGGGCAATATGGAGATTATGGGAATTAATATTACATTTAAAATTACATTTGAAAACGGTTGGCCCTAGGTTTTAGCTGTTTCTTAAAAAACAAATACCTTAGAAAAAATACCTAGTTTAATATTTCTAATACAAGAAATCTAACAACTGTTCATAAATAGTTAAATTACATTGTTAAATCAATGAAGACAAAAATAGGCTAGATTAAATTTACCTTAAATTAGAAAATATCCTTGAGTTAAGGAGTAAGCTCAATATCATTACATTCATATTTAAAGGAAATAAAAGATGACATGCTGTATTTCTCTCCCTTATTTTTTTGGAGGGGGTAGTGATGCTTATTAACCAATTACACATAATTTTGTTATTCTCATTATAATATGAAGGAGCAAGCCTTTATGATGGTAATTTGCATTATATTCTCTTAAAAATCATTTTTTTTTTAAAATAAAAGCATTTCCTAGGACAAATATGTCATAAGAGCAGTCATCTTTGCTTAAAGACTTTCTTCCTTTCCATTCAAATTTACAACTAATTTCTACCTGTAAAGCCAACAACAATGCAATTAATACATGTGAAAAGTATATGACCTTTAACACTAGACAATCACTCTTAAATGGTGATGATATAATTAACTTGCCAGATACAACTGGATTAGCTTCCGTGTCATCTTTTCTTGTAGAAAGCTACACCATAATTGACATGTTAACATTTTCAAAGGTTCCAGTCATATTCAGGTTACGTTTTTTTAAATTTATAGACTCAATTACGCTGAATTTCTTCCACTAAGTGAAAGTCCTAGTGTCACAGGATTCTTGGGGTGTTGCTTCGCCACCCAGAAACCATTGTGGCTGGGCGGTACCTTCTGCCTGAGCATTGTTTGCGGCCGCTGGGCTCGTTCTGTCCACTCGGCCAGGTAGGCTGTGCTCAACTTGCGCTACCAACCTGCATCCCACACCAGTCACAGGTTAGCCAGGTGTGGAGCGGCAAGGGGTGTGTGGGTAAGCGAATGCAGGGCCTGGTCACCACACACAGCAGGCATGCTGGCTGACTGGCTGCTACGGCAGGGTGGGCAGCTCCAGGCACTGGTACAGGTGCTGGCTCCGTGCAAGGCTGCAGATGGACCAGATGTACTGCACCCAGCTTCTGCTCTGAGCAGCTGCATCTGGATGAGGGGAACACAGAGGCGCCCAGAAGCCTAGAGAAACCGGGAACCACAGAGCCCCACAGAGGGTGTCACAGCCCTGGCTCAGGAGCACCTAGGTCTGGGCTCTTGGAAGAGCCACAGCTCTTCTCTCCTTCTCTTTTCCCGCAACATGGCGAGTGGGGGCGATGTGTTTCAGCCCCATTTGTTACAGCTCTTTGAGTCCTGCCATTCAGGTCCCAAGTTCTTGTTTCACATCCAGGAAGAATGAGGTAAGTGGACAACTGGAGGGTAAGCAAAGGGGAAGAGGAGCTCCACTGAGTGACAGAACAGCTCTCAGGAGACCCAAAGTTGTAGCTCCTTTCTGCAGGCGGCCTGATGAGTGTCCAGCTCTCAGCAGAGAAGAGATCTGCAGTGGGTAGCTCCTTACAGCAAGCAAGTAATCACCACATCTGTACAAGTCTGGCTGAGCCTGGGGTTTTTATAGGCTCAGAAGGGAGGAAGTGCATGCTGATGGCTGGCCATAGACAGGGCCAGAAAAAGTACAAGTTCTCACTTTGGGTGGAAGACTCCACCTGGAACCGGCAGTCTGGTCCCCAGGCTCAGGCCATCCCTGACTAGAAGGTAGGGTTTCACTGGGGACTCACCCCTTCCCCAGGAGCCTGCCTGTTGCCATCAACTTGCCATCCACTGCGCCCAGGCAGCCCATACTGAGCCACCTTCAGCACCCCCTGGCCTCCCTCCCTGAGCTTGTAGGTGCCCAAAGCTTCAGAGGGGGCTGGGGCAGTGCGGGGCAGGGCAGGGGGCCGGCGGGGGGGGGGGGGGGTGCTAGTATGTCAGGGCTGCTCCAAGTGCAGGCACACCCAGCCAGATCATGACAGTGCCTGGGCTTGGCTTCAACTTTGCTACAAAACTGGAGTAGGTGCCGGCAGCAGGGAGAGGCCAGGGAACGGAAGCAGGCACTTCAGAAACTGCAGGGGCAGGGGGCCTTCCCCAGGCTCCCAGGAGCACTAGGATGACCTGGTCTCAAGCTGTAGCTGGGTGGGTGCAGCTGCACCCAGGAGCGCAGCGGGCAGGGCTCCTGCCTCTTCCCAGCCTCACAGCTGTGTAGCTCGCAGCGTCAGCTGTGCCTCCCCAAATGCAGCTGGCATCCCTGCAGCAGCTGCTCCAGATGGGTCACTGCCGCCATCACTAATAAAGTGACAATAAATTTGGTTTTATTTGGGAGCATCTTCGGGCTTTCTATACAGCTAACATGCGTGCCTTCAAAATTTTTGCTCAGATTAGCAGATTTAAATTGAACACTAACTTGAAGAGGGTAGTTCTATCACCAACTTCTCTTGTTTCTAAATTTCCAAAAGAAAGCTAATCACTTGAAATATTTTTTCAACTCAGGATTATAATTTATCTAGGATAAAACATCTTCCCAAGTTTCCAGGATTCTAAGCCTTGATTTATGGCTCATATGTCTATATTTCAGTTACGTTTACAATTTACTAATGCCGATGTGTTATAATCTAATAAAATCTGCCCTTAAAGGTTATAGGCCCAATTTACTAATAAAACCTAATTCAATTCTCCTTGGGAAATGCAAATCATTAGTGTCCAAGTAGCAGAATGAATTTCCTTGCCTTTTCAATACTAGAAGGAAGTTGTCTAAGAAGTCTAAACAAATAAGAGAAATCAGACTAATATACAACAAGCCCATGAGGATTCATTTATGAGCATTTTTAAAAGAATACCATCACGTATGCAAAAATTTAAACTGCTTAATTAGCTGAATAAATGATTTTTTAAGAGACATTTACCCTTCTAGACTGAGAATATCCCACTTATTTCATTCCCATTTTTTATACAACTGGATTTAATCTGTAGAGAATTTAGTGAACTATTTAAGATAATTTAAAGGTAGTGAACTAATTACTCAATGTGTTAATAAACCCTTAGCAGCTCACTTCCAAGCAAATCTGAATCACCGATTTGCAGTAAACCATGTCAAATGTATTAAATCAAACTAAGTAAACAGTATGTCGTGTTGCACAACAAAACCTACATATCTTACTCTGAATTTTAATAACATTTATTTCAAACTTTCTAAAGTACAGTTCACTGATAAGACTAATATATCTGCTTGTCATCTGGAGGCAATAATGATGTAATAGTAAGAGTGTTGACTCTTACCAAGCTTAAAGGCTTCACTATTAGCTACCTGGTTTTAGGCTATTTCTTAAAAATCTCTGAACTTTAATTTTCACATTGTGAAAATGGGGACAATATTACTCTTTGCCCTATAACCTCACACACTTTTTGATGATCAAATAAGATACATGAAGATTTAAATGCAAGATAAATGTAAGTTATTAGTCTTCATATACTTAGAGTAAAAAGGCTTAAACATTTTATTATTTGAATCTTTTAGAAGGCTCCTAAGGTATTCCACCTTCTTAACTAAAAAAGTAATTGGGACAGCTGCTATGAAAGTATACAGAAAGAAAAAAGGGATTTCATGTAAAGATTATGTGAGATCAAGACTCTTGTAGTATAAAAATTTTTTATTTGCTTTTTTTCTCATTAATTAGAACTATGCTGTGACGTAACTATTGCACTCTTGTTCTCCTGTTTTTACCATCCCACAAGTTTAAGAGTAAAATGACCACTTCATTATCTTAGGAATAATTTTGCTTGTCATATAGTACTATTTCTTATGGTTTTACTCGAAAAATTTTACTGTACACTTCTGCTTCATTAATACTGAAGAAGGTGGAAATAACTTAAAATTATTTCTATTGGTTTTACCTACCTATGTCATTTATTATTTGGCTTGAAATAGATGCTTACATATATTGAAAATAATGTCATTTGGAAAACTGAATACAATTATTACAAAAATTTGCACAGATCTGAGTATTTTTAGATCAAATCATATACCATGCCTGAATCAGAGCAACTTTTAAAAGTAAACAGGACACTGTATTATTATCCAGCCCTACTGTTGCTATAAAGAGGTTCTACTGAGTATGTTTAAATCATGACTTAAAATTCTATTTACATTGAGAAGCAACTCTTGCAAATATCCCAACCTAAATCCAGTTAAGAACAATTAGGGACCTACACAAATGTGCATGTCAAGAACAAAGTGTAAATAAAACATATGACAGTGCCTTGCCTTTAATGACTTTTTGTTTTTTTTAATACTATGTTTCATAATAGACTCATCTTAAAATGTTTACATATTAAGAATAAGTAAACAAATCTGTTATGATGTTTTAATACATGAAAATCAATATAAATAGATTGAGCAAATATTCTTAACCATACTGTCTACTATTAGTTACTAGAATTACAGATGTGGCAGTGATGTATCCAATTTTATGCTATCAAAACATCATATGTGAATAAAATTTTTATAAAAAACATTTTTAATAAGGAAGAGGAAAATTAAAAATTCACTGTGGTAAATCCTTTAAAAAGTCAAGAAGTTTATGAAAGGTGAATATTTATTGCTAAATGTATCTATTTTGACTTATGTTGACATTCACATATAAAGTTTACTTACAGTACCAGTGTAATAATATAATCTAATATGTAGACAAAAGTCTCATGGCACAAAAATAATGTTGTAAAAATGTTTATTTCACTACCCTCAATTATCAGTTTTCTTTGACACATAATAAATTATCAGTCTTTATTTTTATCTCTGATTATTTCATAAGGACAAATTCTTAGAAATAAAGTTATAGAATAAAAGGAAGTAAACGATTTAAGGTTCTTGTTCTTTATCATCTTGCCTTTCATAAAGGTTTTATTAACTTAAATCCTACAAGAGGTGTTTAGGAGTACTGTTTTGCTCTGATGTGTGGGTATTAGCATTAGAAATTATTTGGCAATTGATAGGTGAAAATGTTATCTGTCTGCTTTATTTTGTAACCACCATGTCTAGAAAAATCACTAAGTCAGTTTTTTTGAAAGGCTTCATGAAGCATGTTTTCTGCTGAGAAAAAGTAATAAGAAATTCATAAATAATAGAAAAACTATGATCATCTTTGGTAAAAAAAAAGTAATAGCACACTAAATGAAGCAGTATTTTAGTCAATGATTACTTTAAAAAGATTTTATAGGTTTTTAGCAATTAGGTTAGTTCTTACAATGCTGAACAAATGGTTGGTGTCAATATCTATCAAAGAATGTGCTTCTGAGAGGTTCTTTTCACTTTTTTGATCCTTCCATCTAATTGCTACGCTATGGCCACAGTAAGGAAGATCATTAGAACTTAAGTTATTAGAACAAATGAGTTTGGGTTATTAATTAAAATTGATAAAGGACTTATCAAAGAAGGAATTTTGCAGGCATATTTACTTTCCTCTCAATGTAAAAGAATTTTTTGCTTGGCCAAATTAAGGGCTGTAAAATAGACAACTTAGTTTCTCTTTTGAATAACTGCCTTGAAACAAACTCATAATATATAGTTCTAGGAATATGTAGTTCTGTAAACACTGCACAATGCCTTTTAGACAGAGAATATGTAATTTTGAGCTTGCTTTCTCAAGGGAAAAAACAGTAAACTAAATAGCTGAGTATAATTAAGGCAGCCTTACAGCTAAACAAATAAGTCTAATTTTTTTATATGTAGAATTCTAGAATTAAAAAATCATACATTTAAAAATTTGGGTAAAAGATTATTTCTTACATTTTAAAGAAATAATTTGTTAGTTCTCCTCAGTATGATTTTTTAAAGTAAAACTAATATTCAACTGTGATTTAATATTTCAAAAAAAAGAGACCAAAATAGAAGGCATATGTATATGTAATATAAAACATATAATGCATAAAAAAGTTAATACTAAAGTACCCTAAGAAAAGAAAAAGAGGCAGGCTATAACATATACATAGAAAATGAAAGTGTAAGAGTCAGATGGCTCAGATAATGCACACATCTAGTTTGTCTTTGACACCATTGAAATGTTCAGTAAATGACATCACTGTGCCAACCACAAAGAAGAACTCCAGGCTCTCTGAAAAATATTTTTCAAAGCCCCAAAGAAACCTAAGCAGTCTGCAATTTTTTTTCCAGTTTATGAAAATTGGATTCCTATAAAAGAAAAATGAACCATTTTTACTGCAACAAAAACTGATTTGTAAAAGCTGGAAGCAGTTTAAAAATACCCTTAACATGCGGTTCTTGTTAGTCTTGAAAAGTAAAAGTTATAATAAAAAAATGGTCCAAAAGTATGGTGCAGATACATGGTATACATAACTGGAAAAAAAGCTAGTCTTGCTCCTATTATTTTTAATTAGCTTCAAAAGCAAGTTCCACTTTACTTTCTAACACCAGTTCAGATTTTGGGAGGGGAAGATTTACATTTGATGCTCTGGGATTGGCAACTCCATAGCTAATGCCTTAGAGCCCTAATGCATTTTGCATTAGCTCTAAATGTTGGGAAATCCTGGCGCCAAGAGGTTCAAACTGATAGTGACACATGTCTAAAACCCAGGATTCACAGACCAATTGCCAATATCTATTTTATCAAACATCCAGTCTTCTTATAGAATGAGATAGATAAGTTTAACTGTTTTCACTATTGCCTATTAAACTGCCTTGCTATCTTACAAAAATGCAGATATTCAGATTAAGAAGGACCCCCGATGTGGATTTTAAGAAAAACACCAATTTGAACTATTTAAATTCTTCTCTAAATCTGGCTTAGTTTCTCAGATTTTAATACATTCATCCTATTACTGAACATTGTCATTTTATGAAGAAATAACTTTTCTTTAAACAATTAAACCCTTGTGTCATACAAATTAGCAATTTATTATTTATCACATGAATCCACTCAAACTGAAATATTAAGAAAACAGAGAATGAAAAGCCATGAGAACTGGCTGAAGAGTATGCCACTCGGCACTGTCATATTGTTTCATGTTTTATCCCACATATTGTTATACTCAAATCATTACAAACAATGGTAATGATAAAAGTTCACTTTTTATACATTAATCAAGTATTATTCTTTCTCCAGATAACTTGACAGTGCTTATTTATCAAAGACATATGAAGAAGAAACAGGGAAAGAATTTATAAATTGTCTGGACCATTTCCCTGATTTAAAGGAAAAACACCCAACAACTCCAAATAGATAACATTTCCTCTTTTTAAGATACTTAGAGAATCAGCTTTTTCAATATGTAAAGATCAATTAAGCTATTATTCTATCACAGGTAACACAAATTCTTCATGTTGTCCATTAAGTCTGCTTATTCTCATCTTTACAGTAGAGATGAAGAATAGGAGTTCAACAACTTCTCTTTAATTAACTTGTATTTCTTGAAAAAGATTCCTATTTTGCTTCAAATCAGTTAAAATGAAAAATTTCAAAAATATTTTTGAATGACTATTATTTAATGAGATTTAAATTCACCTATAGGATATCAGGAGCTGAAATGTAGCCATAGTTTAAAATTTCACATTATGCAGCAAAATTATCATATTGAAATATGTGAATAATTGTGTAAAGATTTAAAATACTTAAATCTTTGAATTGAAAAAATGCCACACTTTCAGATCCATGGTTACTGTTACAAAAGAGCTTAGAGGTCCTATTAAAAGGAGAATCTTAACCAACCACAAATGATTGGATAAAAGCAAAAAAGCAAATGATTCCAAAGTCAGTCAGTAAAACAGAATAAGAAAAAGAAAACTATGAATCTTTGGCTGTATTGTGTAATCCGTCTGTGGCTCTGCTGATAGAGTTTAGGGTCCCTTCTCGTTTGTTCTATTACGTACCACAAAATTTGAGGAAATTCATTGTGAATTATTTCTTCTAAATATGAAAAAAGTGATATAGTTAAACGTGATTTAAGGCCTTAACAATTACAAAAGACAAGAGATGAAAGTCTTAACTTTCTCAGGGAAAGTTCTTTCTAAAGGGCAAACAATTCTCAAATGAAAATAATTATAAAAATTATATCATTCTTTTGATTTGAAAAATAGTCTATAGTAAGTTTTATTAACTAATCTTTTAAGTCAACATTACTGGGCTGTGTCTTTTGTAAAGTGAAAGAAGCTACTTAAGTATTTTTACTTTTAAAAAGAAAGTAAAGGTACAAGGGTAAAAGGATTTTCCCAAAGTCATTAAAAAAAATCTTATTAACAGAATAGAGGAATAAAATCCTGAAATCTTTGGACCCAGTACGTAACTTGTAGAATACATTTATCTCTCTCAAAACTTTTATTATTTTATAAAGTAAGCATTTTCGAATACTGGAAATTAGAGATTTTGCTGAATTGAGCAAAAATGATTGTTTTCTATATTTTAGTGAAAATGTTTAGTTTTTAAAAAGTCACGTAATTAAATAAAAAAATAAAGACAAGTCTTTCTCAAATAAGTAATGCATGATTTATAGCAGTTGGTTTTTTTTAGATTCACAGTATCTGCAGGAGATACAAAAATAATGTTTTGCTAAAAGTAAAACATAAATGGCAGAATAATCTTATAAACGCTATAAGCAAAATGTTTCAATATAAATGTTAAGATCATATATCTAAATCATTTCTCCTTTCCCAATTATGTTTCAGAAAACATTTGTACAGTAAATTGTCACCTGATACAGTATTTATAATGATTAAACAGAGCCTCTATTCAAATAATTATAGCTAATAAAGCCAGAAGCATCAGAAGTAATCAAAAGCCATATGCTTTCTAGTATTTAACCATGTTTAGCTTTTATTTCCTAAGGCAAGGTGTTTCTTACTATGACAGTCTAGTACACAGATGAAACAATTTTTAAAGGGCTACTATTTAAACTACACTACAGAACACTGAACTACACATAAGGTTATTATATTTCATGTAATACTGCTATGATTTTCCACCATGCTTTTAAACTTTGGGTCATGACCATCAGCAAGTTGTAAAATCAATTTAGTGGGTTGCAATTTGCATTTAAAACGGGAAGTAGAATATAATAAAATATCATTGTGTATTACAGGTAGAGTACCACTTTAAGCAATTTTTGTTTTACACATATATACAGGTAGATACATATATGTAAAACATTTACATATATGTATAGGTAGATACATGTATGTAAACGAATATGTATGTATGCATTAAGTTCAAATATGAAAGGTATTTCTTTTAATGTGGGTTGTGATCAAAAGAGCTTAAAAATCACTACACTATGTTTTGTTTCCTCCAAATGAGACAGCATGTTATGCTGGAAAGAACATAAACTTTGGTGACATATATACCTGAGTCAAATTTTTGCTCCATCATCCTACTTGTGTGAATTGGTCAGTTAACCTTGAATTTTTAGAGCCGTGATTTCTTCATCAGTAAAACAGATATAATAATACTTGTTTTAAAATGTTGCTGTGCAAGTTAAAATAAATGAGTATTTGTAAAACAGATTATATACAATGGATAATCGATAATGGTTGAAATTATAATTTAGTATTAGCTTAAAATAGCATTACAAGTGATCATTAAGAGTTATCACACATTGGTCGCAACTGTATTGTTCATTTAAAAAAATACATGAACATATCTTACATATAGAAAATAGTTTATCCTAATGAAAAGTAGAATTTCAGAAGAAAAAATAAATTAATAATTTAATGAAAAAATTAATAGGCTTAAGGGAAAATAACACTGTATCTGTTCACTGGACTAGCTTAATGTGAAATGTCAACTGTCAGCCTTAATTAAAATATTACACCTCTAGGAATGGTATGAAGAGGAAAATATTATTTATACTTTCTGGCGAGATTTTAAAAATCTGTTATATCATTATGTAATAAAGCTGGATATATGCTGTGGGGAACTTTATAATAATTGCAAAACAATACAGGCCTGATTTCTTTTTTCTCTTAAATATTTTATGCAAATGCCATCTAGGGAGGAAAAGTCTTCAATTTAATAAAAGCACCAACTTTTTAAAAAGAGCTGTGTCTTTGGTAATTGTTAAAATACATGTCTTGTGTTCTCATTTTATATTTTAATGACTTTGGAAAACACTCAGAAACAATCTGCATTCGTTAATTAGGCAAAAGTATTGTTTGTGTCAACAGACAATCTATATTTTCCAACTTGAAGAGCATGTTTTGTTTTAGATCTGTGATCTCCCTTTTCTTTTTCAGACGGAGTCTGGCTCTGTCGCCCAGGCTGGAGTGCAGTGGCGCCATCTCAGCTCACTGCAAGCTCCGCCTCCCGGGTTCACGCCATTCTCCTGCCTCAGCCTCCCCGAGCAGCTGGGACTACAGGCGCCCGCCACCATGCCCGGCTAATTTTTTGTACTTTTAGCAGAGACGAGGTTTCACTGTGTTGGCCAGGAAGGTCTCAATTTCCTGACCTCGTGATCCGCCCGTCTTGGTCTCCCAAAGTGCTGGGATTACAGGCGTGAGCCACCGCGTCTGGCCTTGTGATCTCCGTTTTTTAAATACAGAAAATGTGACTTCGTAAGTTACTTTAAAATCAAACAAACAAGTCCTTGAAAAGATTGAGGGTTTTTTCCCCTCTTAATGAAAAAGAAGAGAAATAGAGAGGGAAGAGAATTTTAGCTTTCCAAAAGCAACAGATCCCACACATTAGATTTTTCTTGTAAAACTTTACCTGCCAGGAAATGAATGCTGCCCAACAACATCTCCATTTTGAAGGTGGTAATCATTGAAGAAATCGGGACTTATGGCTCCTTCAGAGGCAATTAATCCATCTAGAAAGAAAAAAAATGGTAACCAGTAAAACACATGTGAAGGAAAAACCAGTCTATCAAGCAATACAATAAGAAAATAACTTGTATATTTAATCTATAAAGAAAAACGTTAGCATGACATGTTGTTCTCTCCGGGAGTGTGAACAGATGACCACATGTACCTTAAGTACTGGTTCACAATAATGCAGCACAATAACTGAACATTCATTGAGCATCTACTATGTATTTGGTACTATACGAGTACAGAGAGGAATTAGTCTCTGCCTTCAAGCAGGCTTATGGTCTTCTGTGGAGAAGACAGACAGAAAAAGATAAGGAAGGGAAACAAGGTGGGGACAGACAGTAAGCATGGTTCAGGCTAAGGAAACAGAACAAATATGGGCAAGGAGGTATTAAATAGTTTGGTATTGGTAAAAGGTAATACTTTATTGTATTTCACAGCTTTATTAGTGTAGCATGATTAGGGAATCAGATATACCAAATAAGTGAATTTCTAAATAAGCAATACTTGACAGTTTAAGTGCCAAACATTAAAATACATGCACAAACTTACATTAGAAATCTTCATAGAGTTTACACTCCTTATATTCTTAAAAGGATATACTATACATAAATATTTCTTGATTATTCAATATTCATTATAAATACTAAACATTGTACAGTCCCTAGGGTTATGAGATATTTTGATTACCTATGCTAAATAGCTCTATACTAGTATGCTTTTTGAGTTATTTTTCTTTGCTTATAAAATACTTCTTTCCCTAAATTTAAGTATTTGTTAAGACATTTTCCTGATTATAGTTATGCTGCTTTCTCATTTGTTCCAATCTAAGAATCTAGATAACCTATTTTTGATAGAATTATGAGTAAGTTAAGAATAAAAAGAATCTGAGGAAAAAAAAAGATTTAAGTGATGGCTGCAGAGTTGTTCAATGCATGGAACAAACACGTTAGTATATTGCTTTTGTAATAACTATTTGGATAGCTTTGAGGCCTTTCAAAGTTTCCTTTTCTGAAAGTATGCTGGGCTGTTGAGTGGCATGCAGATAAATGTTAGCTAGGTCATACCCACCACATTGTTTATACATTTGGCACACAGTATAGGCAAATTATTCAATCACCAAATTTTATACTTAGCACATGCATAATACTGTGCTAGGTCCTGTGGGAAATATATAATTTTACAATACATAACCTCTGTTTTTAAGAATTTTAGTTTAAGTGAAATATAAGACAAACACTTAAGATGCAATTAAAAATGTAATTTATAATAAATGATATACAGAAGGAATGGATATAAGTACCAAGTGAGTGTGGAGGCAGTAAAAGCTATAGAGGGGTCAGAAAATTCTACTTGGGAGGGGAGGAGGCAGAAGTGTAACAGATTTGAGTCTGGAAAGGCAGGTAAGAGTTAAATGATGAAATTTGTTTAGGAGTAAGGGTCTTAAAAATTGAGTTAATGGTAAAACTAAGTAATAGAGTTGGCAAACGAATTAAGTGGGGTAATTTGTATTTCCATAAGACTCCCATACTACTCATTTGATATATCTATCCATTTGTTATACATCATATATTAATGACATATTATTATTTAATTGTCAAATTGTTAATGGATGCCTTTGGTGTTTGTCCTATTACTTTACTAAATTTAAAATACGAGATTGCTTGAGTTTCTACTGAAAGTATCAGTAATATTTAATCCAGTTTTTATGTGCACTAGAAGTTAAAGTTTCTATAAATCAAAAAGACTAGCTAAACACTGAAAAGTTATAAAAAAATGAAATCATGGAAAATGACAAGACACCACAGATTGACAGTAAAGCAACGTAAAAAAAAAAATCAATTTTATATGGATTCTCGCCATATAAAAATTTGTGATTCTATATGGTAAACTTTTTAAAAATGTCTAGGATTTTGTGAAAGTGGCTAAAACTAACAAGGTTAAGAACACAAAAATCAACAAATTCCTCTGTTAAATTAAAACCAAAGAATTGAGAATCAGAGTTTAAGAAACCTGCCAATTTTAGAGGAACAAAGCTAAGTAAAATGCCAAAATAAATTATATGCCACACGTGGAAAATACACACAGAGATATTTGGCATGCCAATTAAAATAAAAGAATTTAACACTAAGAAATATTTCGGATATAAATAAAGACAAATGAAAAGATACATGAATTATGTAAAAAGCTATATACTTATAAAGTATGACATAGTGAAGTGATCCAGGTTAGGCAGAAATTAAGTAAAAATCTGACCAAATTCTCAACATCTTATTTTTGATTCAGAATGCCTATTGTCTTCAAAGGGAACAATGAGTAGCAAAAGGATAAACAGAATACAGGGCACTAGAAAATGGGCAATCATCAAATAGAGATCAAATTAAAAATTTTGTACTTTAAAGATTCAGCCAGAAATTTTATAAACCCAGAATACAACTAGTCCAATAATATAATAAGTCTACTCTTATGTGAATAAAAAGAGTAAATTTATACTTCTGAAGTTTTTTTTTTTTTTTTTTTTTGAAACAAAAAAGGGGTTTTTCTGTTGCACAGGTTGGAGTGCAGTGGTACAATCATAGCTCACTGCAGCCTCAAACATCTGGCTAATTTTTAAAATTTGTTTTAGAGACCGGGTATTGCCCAGGCTGGTCTTGAACTTCTGGCCTCAAGAGATCCCTTTTGCCTCAGCCTCCCAAAGTGCTGGAAGTATAGGTGTGAGCTACAGTGCCCAACTTCATTTTTAATTTTCCCAGGACACTGTGGTTGATTCAGTAAGCTGCAGCTTCTACAGTGCCCTTTAAGGCTTGACAAAAGTTAGGCAGCTCTGACATATGAGTAATTTTTCTTTACTAGAATGAGGTATAAAGATTCCATTAAAGCCTCTCATCTCAAGCACCTCAACTTCTTTGAAAATATCTATGTTTTCTTAACATTGTTCCACCAAAATTAATTCCTTTAGGGAAATATTAAAATCACAGCTTCTTATTTATTCTCCAAATAAATCTAGGAGTGTCTTAAATTCCTACTCTAAACTTGTTGTTTCAAAGATACTAACAAGGAACTAAAGTATTTCATGTAACATTTAAATGACCAGAGAACAAACAGGAAACAGATGATATACACCATAACCCTCTAAGCTATAGAGTATTATACACATTTACATTACTCAATTATATAAAACCTTTTAGACCACAGTTATAAAGTACACCTTTCTGAGATGCCCCAAGTAAGATGATAAAGACAGTTATGAACAAAACAGAGCATATATTAGAACAGTGATGAAACCAAAGCAAATTTGTTGTCAACACAGGTAATTTATCAACCTTCTGATTTCTGAAAGCCAGTTTTAAAAAACTGGCTTATAAACATTGTGAATTAAAAAAAATACAAAAACTCAATATCTTCTTATGTATTATCTTGTATATCATATATTCTTACTGAAATACAGGTCTTTTTTTTTTTTTTTTTTTTTTTAAACTCTTTTTCTTTTGGAGATGGAGTCTCGCTTTGTTTCCAGGCTGGTAGGTAGTGGCGCGATCTTGCCGCACTGCAACCTCTGCCTCCTGGGTTTAAGCGATTCTCCTGTCTCAGCCTCCCGAGTAGCTGGGATTACAGGCGTGTGCTACCACATCTGGCTAATTTTTGTATTTTCAGTAGAGCCAGGGTTTCATCATGTTGGCTAGGCTGGTCTTGAACTCCTGACCTCAAGTGATCCACTTGCCTCGGCCACCCAAAGTGCTGGGTTTACAAGCATGAGCCACCATGCCTGGCCAACTTTTTTGTTAAAGAGACAGGGTCTTGCTATTAATAATTGGCCCAGGTTGGAGTGCAGTGGCTGTTCACAGGCATGATCTCACTACTGGTCAGCCTGGGAGTTTTGACTTAATCCTTTTTGGATCTGGGCCAGATCACCCTTCCTTAGGCAATCTGGTAGTCTCCAACTCCCAGGAGGTCACCATACTGATGCTGAACTTAGTGGGGACACATGATTGGCATAGCTCATTACAATCCAGAGTTCTTAAGACTCAAGTAATCCCCTCACCTGAGCCTTCTGAGTAGGTGGGACTACAGGCACATGCCACTATGCCTGGGTAATTTCTTTTTCTTTTCCTTTTTTTGGTAGAGATGAAGTCTCATTACATTGACCACGCTAGTCTTGAACTCCTGGCCTCAAGCAACCCTCCTGCCTTGGCCTCCCAAAGTGCTGGCATTAGAGCTGTGAGCCACCATGCCCGACCTCTTTTTATTTCTTAAAGTCAAATGAAAATATAATATTGGGCACAGTAATATATATAATATTGGACATATAATAATATATAATAATATCAAAATTATATTTTTAATATTGGGCACAATAATATAAAATTCATATCATATGAACTAAAGGTGAAATTGTGACTGTACGGGAGAAAATAGATGTCAATAGTATAGAATATGAGAAAAAGAAATAAGTAAAATGATAAATCTTATTAATAATTTATTTGACTATACTTTACAAGACACATCACAGAAATACATAGGTAAATGAAAACTATGGTTTTTACAATATTCCTGAGATAGAACAAACCATTTTCAGCTTCATATTCCAGTAATATATTCACATACTAAGAGTAAGATTCACTACAATTAATGAAGAACAATTAAAAAATAAAAAGTCATTTAGACATATGTCATAGCAATACGGCTTTATGAATGACAAAATATTTCCTCTATGGGTAAAAGTACTAAAGCAAACAGCTTCATTTTCATGATAGCAAAGGACATTAATTAGTGACTACAATCACAATAATTTTAGACTAAGGAAAAAGTACTGTAACTAAAGGAGATGCTAGTTTTGTATTTCACATGATAATACTAAGATTTTTTTTTAAAACATGGGAGAATCATTCACATTTGACTATTAAATAGTCTAAAAATACAGAGAGTGATGCTAATGACTAGAAAATAGCAGATGCCATTTCATTTTAAAGTAAAAGATGAGACCCAGGGAATTACGAGCCACTCAGTTTAACCTCTGTGACTGAAAAGCCGCTAAAGTTGTTCTTATCAGAAACAGCCTAAATTTTCAGGGAGACCCAGAGGCTTAGAAACATGGCTCAAGCATTCAAACAAATCTGCAGTAGTACACATTTATCTGATGTTTTTTGATGATACAATCATACACAATAAAGGAAAGGAGGCTGATACTATCTAGATTTCCATGAGACACATCAAGAAATGCTACAGAGATTCATTTAGCCCATGGACTATCCATGGAAAATGATGTATGTAAAATAATTACTGAACTAAAAAAAATTGCTTGCTATAAGAAATTTAGTTTTAGACTCACAGCATGTAATTTCTACTGTCAAATGTCTATCATATCATCAGGCTACAGATTAAAAAAAAACTAAATGTTTCTAAGTTTTGGTATATGAAAATATACATAACTGTTTTCTCACAAAAGCATAACTTATACATTTTAAAGTATCAGAAAAATATTTAGGATTTTCACTTAAAGAGGTTAATTTAATTTTGGAAATGTGGTATAACTTTTTAGAAATCTGTTCTGAAATTTTAATTGTATTAAAACAACAATGATGAATACTGAGGTGGTTAATAGCTTTATCTGGTTTTAGAAACTGGTAATTGATTCATTATGAAAGGTAGCTATCAACCTTCAAAGCAAGAAACTTGATTCCAAGAATATTCGGATTTCTATTAACAAAAAAGTTCATATCATATATATTTTACATCATCTTACTTCATGAATACTGAATATGTAAGTAACAGCTGTTTGCCATTACTGAACTAAGAAATTCTGTTTGGTTGAAATTAATGATCTACTCCATCTGGTTTGAAACACAAAGCAACATTTCATAACTACTGTAAAGTTGAGTTAGGAAGAAATCTATTTGATTTTCAGAGTAAAGCATAAGTTTTCCATGATTTAAATATCTATACCAAATACAAAAATAATACACAATATCTATGGAAAATTTGCACAATACACAATTAAGAAAACACATGAATGAAAATGTGAGTGGTATTATTAATGTGAGTACAGTGATCAGATGTAATAGTAATTTACATAATCATCCAATCTGATCAAATTGTTCAGATAAAATGAGATAATACACAAAATATTTAGAGAACATATATTGAGAACACTAAATGCATGGTAGAAATACATGGTAAAAAAAAGTGAGTCACTAATTCAGATATAATCACTTTAATGATTTTTATCTTGAACTTGCTAGAGATCTTAATTATTATATAAATCCTTTCCTTCTTCTCAATTAAATGACTTCAATGAAGTAACATTAATGTTGGCAACAGTACAAAATAGTGAAAGCTAGAATATGCAAAAACTTACCAATCTTTGTGTCAAACTCATCTTTGGAAAAAGGTAGTAATGCAGAATCAAAAAGGTTATAATACATGTAAGATTTACATAAATATTAAATTTTACCTTGAAAACATTAGCATAGTTTAGAAAGAATAAACAATTGCTCTAAAGTGTCTAAATCTTCCCCAAGTTACCATATAGAGCTTGGTAGTTTGAAACTAAAGCAAAACCATGGCAAAATTAAACTGTTAAGATTAAATACCTTGGAAAACAAAAGATGAATTAATAAATTATGCATTTAATAAATGCAGAAGAAAAATGAATATTACATTTTTGAACAGAAGTCAGAAATCTTGAAGTTGTCCATTTAAGTTACATATTCTAGCAAGTAATAAACTTCTAAGAACAATTAATTTTCCTGGCTACAGCCTTTTATGGAGATTCCATTAAAGACTAACTTGGAAAAAAATGGTAAGTTAATAGGTTTGCTTTTTATATATAGATGTTACATCTAAAATCATTAGCAGAAGACCATTCATAAAGTAAAAGAAGTGCTTATTAAAAACTTGGGAATGTGCAAGGCTGGCAGACTAAAATCTCTATTCATAGCATATAAACTGTTTATTTTCACTTTGGTTATCACCTGAGTTGTAGAAAAGGTCAGGTCTTTCGAGAATATCTCCTTCATGAATGTATGGCTCAATTCGATCATCACCATACAAATACTGCTCACTCTCGTCCATCTGACGACTCTCTACCATCTCCAGCCACTGGGAGTTATGCCAGCGAAACTTTTCACTCTGAATTTTCTTAGCCCATTCTTCATCATATTCCTGTTGAAAACAAACAGTTAACGGTTATTATATAAGCTAACTCACTTGGCACTCAGACAGCAATATTTTTATCTCTTGAGAATTTTGGGGGGGCCTTCATTGGGTCAGAGGAAGCATTAAAAATACCTGTTCAGAATTATTTTATATAATAGCCAACAAAAAGCAATTACATACATAAAGAAGTCTGTGTTTGTATTATTGATTACTAATGGCAATGGCAAACACTAGAAAAGTTCAAATTTCATAAATTCTTATTACATAAATATTGCCAGAATTTAAGCAAGCAGTAAGACTTCAGTTTCCAAAGAGTTCTTGTGACTGTAATTACATTTGACCTTAGAACAAAATGGATTTGAATCGCATAGGTCCACTTATACATGGATTTTTGTTCCACCTCTGCCATCCTTGAGACAGCAAAACCAAGCTCTCCTCTTCTTTCTCCTCCTCAGCCTACTCAATGTGAAGATAACAAGGATGAAGATCTTTATGATGATTCACTTCCACTTGGTGAATAGTAAATATATTTTCTCTTCCTTATGATTTTCTTTAAAATATTCCTTTCTCTAGCTTACTTTATTGTGAGAACACAGTATATAATACATATACAAAATATGTTTTAATCAACTGTTTATGCTATTAGTAAAGCTTCCAGTTAACAGTAGGCTATTAGTTTATGTTTTAGGGGAGCTAAAAGTTATACATGGATTTTCAACTGTGTAGGGGGATTGGTCCCCTAACACCTGTGTTGTTCAAGAGTCAACTGCATTTGTGGCACTAATGACAGGTAGTTACCATAAAATGACATATTTTGCTGTATCTTTTAGTCTAGATAACACTAGGGGGAAAGCACTATTAAGTATTATTTTAGCTGCTAAAATGGTTTACTACAGAAAACAAATATCAGAATTGAATTTAATTTTTGTTCCAACCACAAATTAATGATCTTATTTAGTTGTAATTAGTTATTTAAATGCTTCTTGTTTTGATCATAAACTCCTATGGAGCAAGATTAGGTTATTCACTGACAGGTGTATCTATAACACTTGTCAGAGAGAAAGTTCTTGGTGAATGATTTTGAAGGACAAATAGGCAAATTACTGTAAGCTACAGCAGAACTTCTCCATCTTCTACTTGTCCCATAGGGTGCAGCTACTACTGATTAGTGTATTGCTTTATGGACAGCAGAAATGATAGCATGGATAGAAAATAAAGGGCTTCAGATATTTCATGTCATTGTTAGAGTTCTTGGTTTTAAATTCCTCTCTCATATCTTTAAACACATTTGGTTACAGCAGTCAAAAAGGAGTTAGAGGGATGTAGGGTAATAGCACTATTAAGGTGATCACAAAAACTAAGAGGTAGACCAAATATATATTTTAGTCAAATGTTAAGCAATTTCAACTCAAGCTGAGACTCAAATCAAAATCACTATCACAGAATACATTTCTGGGATATAAAAATAAAATCTGTAATTTTATAATAAATGTAATTATTATTGTAATTTTCTTGTTAAAATTATAACTTGTTCAAGTTTCACATTATCAGCAAATCCCAGCAGTGTCAGTTGTCAGATTGTATGTTCTATACTGTACATTTAAAAAATACACAGACGCTCCCTTCAACTGAAGTTGGGGAAGGTAGAGGATATTTTTTGACTATAGTACTGCTAGTGACAATTTTGCTACCAAATTATTAAACTTTATTTTCTTTTTAATTTTTATTTTAGGTTCAGGGATACATGTGCGGATTTGTTATACAGGTAAACTGTGTATCATGGGGGTTTGGTGTACAGATTGTCACCCAGGTAATAAGCATAGTACCCAAATAGGTAGTTTTTCAATCCTCACTCTCCTCCCACCCTCTACCCTTAAGTAGGTCCTGATGTCTGTTGTTCCCTTCTTTGTGTTCATGTGTACTCAGTGTTTAGTACGCATTTATAAGTGAGAACATGTGGTATTTGGTTTTCTGTTCCTGTGTTAGTTTACTTAGGATAATGGCCTCCAGTTCCATCCATGTTGCTGCAAAGGACATGATCTCGTTCTTTTTTATGGCTGAGTCCATGGTATATATGTACAACATTTTCTTTAGCCAGTCTACTGTTGACGGGCATTTCGCTTGATTACATGTCTTTGTTACTGTAAACAGTGCTGCGATGAACATGCACGTGCATGTCTCTTTATGGTAGAACAATGTATATTCCTTTGGGTATATACACATAATGGGACTTCTTTTCTTTTTCCTTTTTTTTTTTTGTTGAGATGGAGTCTTGCTGTTACCCATGCTGGAGTGCAGTGACACGATCTCAGCTCACTGAAACCTCTGCCTCCTGGGTTAAAGTGATTCTTGTGCCTCAGCCTCCAGAACAGCTGGGATTACAGGTGCCTGCCACCACCACCCAGCTAATTTTTGTATTTTTGGTAGAGATGGGGTTTCACCATGTTGGCCAGGCTGGTCTTGAACTCCTGACCTCAGGTAATCTGCCCGCCTTGGCCTCCCAAAGTGCTGGGATTACAGGCGTGAGCCACCGGGACTTCTTTTCTAATAGTTATCTATTAACATTTCTACTAGCCGTCAATCTATTTCCTAATGTTATTATTTAACATTAAGTTGCATAAAATTAAGAGCTATCATAAACATTATGTAAAAAATAGACATTTTTTATTCAACTGATAGTTTTCATAATTAAACAACTGAAGATCTTTACCTCAGTTACATCTGTTACACTAAACTATACTTGAAATTGACTATTCAGATATAAATAATAAATCCAAATGCCATACCTCCTTAGTATTATTGATATGGTCACAGTGACTGAATGTGATGGTAATTTATACAACCACCCAATCACTGATCACACACAAATTATTCTGCCAAAAGGAGATAATACATATAAAGTATTTAGATAACTTATATTGAGAACACTTAATAAATGTTAGCCATTACCTTAATTAATTCAGGTAACGGCTCTCTGAAATAAGTACTATAATTATCAACATCTTACAAATGAGAAAATGAGGCCCAGAACACTGAAGTAACTTGATCCAGGGAACACAGCTGGCTGTGGCTACTACAGCACTGTAAGCCTCAGGCTAGCAACGTGGAAGAGGCAGTTAAACAGAGGATAAATGAATATTTTCAGGGTTCCTGCAAAACAGCTTCTTCATTGAATGAGAATATAACAAATAACCCCCAGGGACAACTTTCAGCTCTAAGATTTTGTAAGTAAACAGTGATATGGGAGGAAGTCGTTGACCAAGCAGTGATATGGGAAGAAGTAGCTTCTGGTCTGGTAAGTATATTATCCCATCGTATTCTCAGTCATGCTCTTACTGAGCTGGCTATACTTGGGAGGGTACTGGGGAAAGAGGGAATTGAAAAATAATATGCACAGAGATGTTGTTACAAGCAGTTTTGCGGTTCGCTTTGGGCTTCCAAACTTAAATGAAATACCAAGCGATGCCTCATTGTGTAATATAGGCATATGATCAGCTTCAAAGTTATTTAGCCTAAATGCTAAATATAACTGTGAACCTCTTTAAGATTCATATAACTTCACAAGAGTACACTTTTTGTTGCCATGTGTGTCTGTGTATGTGCTCAATTAAAGTTAGCTGCAGAAAGATATTGTCATATTAGAAATGGCCAGATAATTACAAAGAGTGATCACATAACCATACAGTAGAAAGAAAGGATAAATTTATTATATCCATTGGGGTAAGACATTTAATATATTAAAAAGCAAAATGATAATGTGGACAAGAAATTGTCCATACTAATTGGCTTTAAAAAAAAAAAAAAAGTTAGTTACAGGTTACCAAAACTCTCAGAATATGCTTTACAAAAATATTAGAAATCCTAGTAAGTCCACATTAAATACAGAACTAATTTGAATGTTATTTTTTTAAAGAATAGTAGCTTGTTTCACTTGGGAAGAGGCATAAAACTAATTTTTCATTTTGGTAGAAAAATTTAAATCTGATTGAATTATCTGAACGAAGAGGTATTCATTCAAGGAAAAAGACAGAAAAATCATATGATCTGATGATTTGATTGCAATTTAAATTTCAAGCATATTCATTCCTGGTGTAAGAATAGGAGTTAAAATTCAGTCAAGTGCCCAAAGCAAATAAAATATGGGGTCTGCTATTCCACTAAGAGTAAAACTTGACTCCTACTAATACCTGTGAAATGTTATAGAGGTAGGTAATATTTAAAATAACAATATCCTTAAACTACATTTCCACAAAATGTATTTAGGCTAGGAAGTAATGCTTTGCAAAACCAAAAATCCTGCTTACTCCGAGTTATCATTTCACACCCTCTTTTAAGATTATCCTAACAATAACAAAAATATATCTAATAAATGTAAAAATGTATAACAAAGAAGTTTCTTGATAAACAATTGCGCTTCTAACTTTAGCCTTCTGATCACCCTATGAGCTCACATCATTATTCTTATTAAAAAACTTATACATACAAAGCTCAGTTAAAAAAGAGATTATCAAATCTATCTGACAAAAGTCCAAACACACAAACCAAAAATATCCATAAGCATCCATGGCTAACTTTTGATACTTTCTTGGTAAAACTGATCTTCTAAGACAGTGAGTTAGTATAGAACCTAGCACCAAATGTAATGACTGCCCTTACACATTCCTTTAAAATTTTCACCTTTTATCAGTTTTTGACTGAATTACTGTATACAACCAGTGCATCTCTTGACATTATAAGCCTAAAAAGTATGGTAGCAATGATATAGATTGTATTATCATTTTCTTACTTAAAATAATTGTATTCTAACTTTTAAGCATTTTGTACTATAAAATAATAGGTTTAATTTCTATGACTAACATACTAATTAACATGCATTATTGTTTACAGGATCACAGTAAAAATACCATGGTTATTTTCTCAGCTCTAAAAAAGAAGCAAAACAACTCTTTTCTCAGGAAATACGACACAGTACACTACTCTATACCAAACTGTGTATTTAGGATATT